ATGTCTATTTATATCTTCTCGAATATGTTCTCTGTATTTACATACTTACCCAGAGTGTCTTTAAAGTCCATACTTTTCTGGACTTGCACAAGAACCCTCTTCTTTTTAGTAGTATTGTGACTTGTAGCTCCAGTGCGAAGTTAAAAGAGAGACACTGGATAAAGACACTGGATACTAAGCATTTTAACAATTTGACTTTTTTTGGTAAGGTGTAGGCATGTAAGCTTTATTTAAAGTTCAAACTGCCGTGTCCAGAGAGTGTACTGCATCCTTCTGAGACATTAGCACCCTGTTGTGTTAAATCAAAGCCTGTGAAACACAGCAAAGTGTTCAGGTTGTTTCTGTCATTCGTCAGCAACAGCCTGCACACATCCTCAAACACATCCTCTTACTCACATCCACAAATGTGCATTGAGTTATTCACACTGTTCCCTGGAGTGTGTTTATGGACATTAGTCAGCAGTGACAGCTCACTCTGTCTCTGTGACTTTGGGCAACGTTTACACCTGAGCAGACTCCCTGTCTAATTAGAGTCTAGTGACACACATGCAGTGAGGTACACAGGTCTGAGTAATTGAGGGAGAGACAAAATGTCCCCGAACTCATGTCAACTCACCTTCTGAGTAAAATACCAAGTATAAAAAAAGAAAAGACAGAGACATTTATGTATTCATTTCTACTACAGCTAATGAATGCTGAGCTGTCAGGTTAAGGACGTTCTGTTTTTGGAATAGCAAACCAACACCACAAGAATGTTGTTTAGTCTCACGGTTGCCAGGTCTGCATAAAAGCAGCCTATAAACCAGTACAAAACAAGAAATCTGCCTTTTCCAGACCATATACACTCACTGAGCACTTTAGTAAGAACACCTGTACATCTACTCATTCATAACAACTACCTAATCAGCCAATCATGTGGCAGCAGTGCAGTGCATAAAATCATGCAGATACGGGCAAGCGGCTTCAGGTTATCAGAATGGGGATCCAGTCAGAGAGAGCTATGTGATACTGATCATAGCGTGATTGTTGGTGCCAGACAGGCTGGTGTGACTATTACTATAACTGCTGATTTCCTGGGATTTTAACACACAACAGTCTCTAGAGTTTACTCAGAATTATGCGATAAAGGAAAAACATCCAGTGGGCGTAAATCAGAAAACCACTCTGTACAACTGTGGTGAGCAGAAAAGCATCTCAGAAGGCACAACACTTCAAACCTTGAGGTGGATGGGCTACAACTGCAGAAGACCACATCGGGTTCCGCTTCAGTCAGCCAAGAACAGAAAGCTGAGGCTGCAGTGGGCACAGGCTCACCAAAACTGGGCAGCTGAGACTGGAAAAACATAGCCTGATCTGATGAATCTCCATTTCTGATGAGGCACACAGATGGTAGGGTCAGAATTTGGCACCAACAGCATGAATCCATGGACCCACCCTGCCTTGTGTCAACAGTCCAGGCTGGTGGAGGTGGCCCATAATGACTACTTCAAGCATGATACTGCACCATGTCACAAAGCAAAAGTCATCGCAAACTGGTTTCTGGCTCTCCATCTGAATCTAATAGCACACCTTTGGCATGTGGTGGAACAGGAGAGTTGCAGCTTGAAGTTGCACCTGAAAAATCTGCAGTAATTGCATGATGCAATTGTGTCAACATAGAATTTTTCCAACATCTTGTGGAATCCATGCCATGAAGAATTGAGGCTGTTTTGAAAGCAAAGGGAGGCCCTACCTAGTATTAGTATAGTGTTCCTAATAAAGTGCTTGGTGAGTGTACATCACAGTCATTACCAAAAGTTTTTTTTTATATATTTATGAAGTAGTACTGCAAACAGGTAAAACACTCAGAAGAAAGTGCTATCTACCTTCCTCCGCATACATAAGCTCTCAGGCGCCAGTGTCACTGTGATGGACAGGGGAGAGAGAGAATGCGATCCGTCTCACACAGACAGCTCAGCCAATTTGCTCTCTTGAGTCCCGGCAACTGGTTGGCTGTGGCAGCATCAGGATTTCGACTTGCTATCCCCTGACAACAGGGAGAACGCTTTTCCCTTTCGCTACTCAGGAGCTCAATAAACTGTATTTTAATCATAACCCCATTGTTAATGCATTTACTGTTTCCATAAAGTAACACTTGACTTAACATATTTGTTATTTGACTTAACATAATGCATGCAAAGTGGCCAACCTTCAAACCAGAGACAATTTTTAAAAAAAAAATCTCACAGCAGCAGTTCAAAGTAACTTAGCTATGTGGGATAATCACAGACCTGGCAACAGTGTTTAGGCTTAAACTGCAAGTGGGAATTTTAAATGATGTAAGATACCTAAAAGCAGATTTCCATGGCAGCCCAAAGAGTGCAAAACATCAGTGGCCCTATGAATCAAGTGTTTTATTTTTCAGTCCATCTTTAAAATACACTGAAAATGAATGATATGCACTGAAGAATGAGTGTTTCATTCATATTCCACATTTTGTGACACTTTACAGTGAGATTCCTGTGTAATGGGACTGTACATTGTGCTCCTACTGCATACAACTACTCGCATTCAAAAGCAGGCTTAAAATAAAAAAACCTGATCAAAATATAATTCATATTCACAGAAGACTTCCGAAAGTAACTACAAATGCCCAAAGTAGTCTCCTTGAACAGCTGCAATAAACTGCATCTGTATGCACAATAAGAAAAACTGGTTAATAAAGCTAGATACAGGACTTCAACAACTAAAGTACAAAACAGAGGTATTACACAAGAATCAGTTATCAAAACAAAACTAACATTTCTTTTTTCACAAACATTGTAAAAGACATGGTTTATTATCATCATCATCATCATCATCATCTCCACTACAATGGGTTTTGTACAAAGGATAGACCTAACAGAAATGTGTGACCTTTTATTAAGTTTAAAAACAGAAAAAAAGAATAAAACCATATGGGACCAAAACCATCAGAATACCTAGATGAAGAAGCAAGTGATTCACATTTGACATGTTTGTGTGTTACACAAACATATGAGGGGAAGAGCGCTGTACACTTCCTCACGTGTGTTCTTCCTTCGGTCCTGTATTGGTAATATTGCTAATGGCTCTCTCTCAGCTGGTGGGAGAAAGTGCATGGGCTGTGGTAAAGCCTGACCTGGTGGGATTCCTGTGAGACCTGGATGAAGCATGTGGAGTTAAATTCCATCACTGCAAGCCTCAAGTGGCTCAACAGTGTCCTTAACCAAAGTCCATCTGCTGCATTCACAATATGTGAAACGTAAGAGACCAACAATCCATTACAAAGAAATGTTTTACCACAAGGCCACAAGACAATCTTCTTTCCAATAGTACCAAGCCATTCTCAGGGAAAAAAAAAAATAAGACAAAAGCTTCCCTAGTTGCCTGTTCGCTAACATTATATAATAAGAATAGTATACAACTGAGTCCCTGTATTACATCTCATTCTAGTGAGTTCATTATATCAGCGCTCTTCTTCTACGACTGGCAGACGATGCCGGTGACTGGCTGTATTCTCTCAACCATTGTTTTATATGCTGACTCAATAAAGACTCTTTTTCTGACTTAACAACTTTTAAAGCATCTAGTGTGTATGTCATGCAAAAGCTTTGCAAGAATAGCAGACAGATGAAACATAGAAACTTTGCTAGTATACGTTATTTTAGTCAAACGTGATCGGTTTCTCCCAAATCTTATATATAACCAGCAGCAAAACGTCATTAGCTTAAACAAACCTAACAGCTCTTCTGTGCTATGTACGACAGAACTTGTTGGATTTGAAATACAAAAGCCCACCTGGCTACAAATGCATTTAATGGTAAATAAGAAGCTTTTTAGCAAACACAGAGTCTACTTGGCAAGCAAAGAAACGGGCTTTACACCCATATACAATACCATCAAAAGTCTATAATGTCACCTGTGAAAGGCTCTACCACTGGGTAAGCAGTGTATATCGCACACTTCCTCTGTCCTCATTGACTTATAAGGTACAAACCAGATGAGAGGCACGGCAGTGTGACTGCTGTAAGTGGGAGGAGTCTTGCCGTGATTGGTTTTTCGTTTTTTGTTGTTTTGGTTTTTTTTCAGATTACAGTTCAGCTCAGAGGCCCATGAATCTGGTTAAGGAGGTCACAACTAGAGCCTTGAAACTCAAACAGGATTGAATTTAGAGACTTTAGAAAAAGTTTAGGCTCTGTTGGACAAGACTTCTAGTGAGATATAGCTGATCAGCAGAAGGAATAGTGAAATGTGCTCTGAGATCCACGTGCTGGAGAGCAGGAGGAGACTGATACAGATGTAGTGTTGAAGAGGAGGAGGACAAAGCATTCTGCTACCTAGCAAAACCCCATCACCGGAGGCCTCTCTGTGGAAACAGATGCTGCCGGTGACCCGCAGCAGTGGAACAAAGCACAGCTCTTTGGAAAAGGATAGTCCAGGTAAGATGGCAGCTGCAGAGGGCACACGCCTCACACACAGGTGCCCTGGTGAGCTGTAGGCAGAGCTTTGCGGTTCTTTAAGCCTGGATTCTTCTCTTTAAAATCCATGGGCTTCTGCTGGGAGGTGTCGATCAGCGCACTAGCTATAGCAATACCTGCAAAAATACACACAAAGAGGAGAAAGAAAAGACAAGGTTACACAGCTGTTGGATTCCAATCATACCAAGCAAAAGACTGCACATAATTTTTACCACAATATGAAAAAACACACTCCATTTCAAAGCAAGGTTATAATTCATAACCAGAAGCAGAGGTTGTGTAAACGATGTCTAGTTATTGGGAATTGCAATTTAAATTGTTCTTGTGCTTTTTAGATACATGTTGCAAATCTGCTCACGCAAAAAAGAGAAAAGGACACAAGCAACAGTCTTCAGGGTCTGAGCACTTTTTGCAAGTAGACACCACTTTAGCACAGGTCTTATAGTAGCCACTTTGTCTATTAGTCTCTGTGAAATACTTTAAAATGATGCTGTGAACTTGTGAGATGAAACGCATGATGGGGGCAGTCATGGCCTAATGGTTAGAGAGTTGGACTTGTAACCCGAAGGTGAACCTCAAGGTCGTGGGTTCAAGTCTCAGGTCTGTCAGGGATTGTAGTTGGGGGGAGTGAATGACCAGCGCTCTCTTCCACCCTCAATACCACGACTTAGGTGAGACCCTTGAGCAAGGCACCAAACCCACAACTGCTCCACGGGCGCCACAGCAAAAAAGGCTGCCCACTGCTCCGTGTGTGTGTGTGTGTGTGTGTGTGTGTGTGTGTGTGTGTGTGTGTGTGTGTGTGTGTTCACTTGGATGGGTTAAATGCAGAGCTTTAGCCATTTTACCTGACTAACAGGTTACAGAGAAACTGCGTGTCAGAAAGACATCTTTTTGATGATAATTATTTTTCAGACTCTAGATTGTGAAAGAAACCAAATCCGAGACAGTACTGTGAAAACCCTAGGAACAAGACTTTCTAATTTTCTAATATTAGAACAAAGCAACAATTCCATCAAGTACATTATCTTTTTTTATCCATTGTAGTTTTTGTGCTTTTTGGGGTATCCCTCACTCACTTTATATCTCTGTTGTGTACGAAGCTTGGCCCAGAGCCCAGTGTGACCTACTCCTGCTTTTCATGCCAGTGTTCAGTCAAAGGAGGCTGTGGAAAGAGCCGTAGCCACAGTCCCCAGAACATTTTTCACAGTGCCATCTCACAAATCATCCCCAAAACAAAATAGCCTTGATCTGCTTCAGCTCCCTCTCTGCTATTTAAGCAATACAATTATCGGAGAGTAACAATTCATTACTTCAGAAACGGCTGGCTAAAATGAATTGAATTCAGCTTGCCAAGCTGAAGCCATGGCTGCTCCAAGAAACCAGGATTTAAACCCAAGAACAAACTGACTCTAAGACGGCCAGTCCTGCCTCCTTCAATTTATTTAATTTATTAGCCATCATGGCTGAAATACAGTGCCAAGAAGCCATGACAGTGTCTAATTTAGTACACACGTGATTCCCCAAAATCTCAGACATTCAAAATGTTTTTTTTGTTTTTGTTGTTTTTTTTTGTTTATGGGACCAAAACTAATTTTTAGTTGCCTGGTAACCTGACCACATTTTCACCCTGAAAGCTAAGTGCAAGTGCTAGCCAGGATGAAAAAGGCATGACTGCGCAAATCAGATCCTCGAGGGCTAAAGTCCAGGCCATGCTTCAAGATGATTTTTAGGTGTGTTTGAACAATTCGTCTGCTATGAAGCTTGGAGAAACAAACTCAGAAGCACTGACTTGCTGCTTGCCCCTACACCTACAGCCTCGTAAATCGTTTTGTACAATCAGAACCTGACACAATGCAAATATCAGATGTGTCAATAATAGATTATACCCTCACTCAAGTGTTTGCTTTTAATATTGCTGATATTTAACTTAGTCCAGTCTTTAAAATCATGGATGCCTTTCCCACTTAGCAAAGAAAACTCATTATTTAATGCATTTGCATATTGTCACTTTTCAGTGAAGTTTCCACAGAAGCCAACTGTCTGTTGCTCTGCCTGGGACTCGGTTTGCATGAGTCTATTTCTTTTAAGCCATTAATATTAGTTTTAGAAGTGGCACTGGTATGACTAATATATTAGTTAGAAGCTTTTTAGGTGCTAATAGTGCATAAGGTTGCCAAGAGTTCGCCGGCTCACTTGCTTATATGTATGACCATATAAGAATGTTCTTGCTTGTATGCTATCAACACGCCCCACGATGATAACCATGTTGCCGGATCAGTAAGTTATACTGAGCAATAGTTAGCTTCCTGGTGTCATATGACGAAAATGCCAAATGTTTGCAAGTACATTACAGCAGTGAGTGATCTAAGACAGTGCTATATTCATGATAGGTAGTGGGAGATGTGCAGCTGCACCGTGATGACAGCCAGCATGACTGCACTGTGCTCCAAAATCACACCCTGACTTGCTGTGAGTAGGTGATGACTTGTTTCAGCCTGCTGCACTTTACACTCATGCAGCTTCATACCTTCGAAAAGCATAGATCGCATAGTCTTTCAGCTGTGACAGGAAAAAGATATTTGCTGAGCACATGCTGCCATTACAGAGAATATTCTTTGCCTCTTTCGCTCTGCTTGCATCTAATGACAAAGCACAACAAGACAACATAAAACAGCCCCCCTTCCATATGAAAAGCTCATTCTTCTGCTGGTGCACAATGGCAGTGGTAGCTGCTGCTATTCAATTTTGAGCTGGTATGCTTGTCAACCAGGACTATTAGATGCACTGAAAAAGGAGGCTTTTTTCAGATCAGTCAGTTTGTGATGAGAAAGCTGAGCTGAGGTTTCATAAAGCAGCATGTTGATTGACAGGCAAGCTGTGAGAGGGAGGGACAGACGAGCTTTTCTCTAGCACACACCATCATTCTGCCAGCACCATCACTTGCAGCAGATAAGTTTATTAAAGCAGGCATTCAAAATAGTACTTGAATGGAAAATTTCCAGGATTTTGTCCAAAAAAAAAAATAAAAATACTGACAATGTTTTATATAAAATACTGTCAAATCAATGTTTTAAAATCTTTTTGTGGAAGCCATGATTGGAAGCGAGGTTGGAAAACTTTCTCAAGCTTCCACAGCAGCAGCACTGCACATAGTCCCAGGATTGATATGATTTGTAATATTAACAGTGTAATAACATTGCAGCTTGATTTTAGTGCCTTCTTCATTTTTTGAGTAAATATTTTACATATTAGCTTAAACATAAACTAGAACATCTGGATGACTAGCTAGACCTTCCAACACCTAAGAAGGAAGAAGCATAACACAGAGAGGTTTAACAAACTTGATCTAAAGGTCTGCACAACATATCAACCTTCAAAGTTTCTTAAACGCATCCTTAATTAATTTCCAAAATGATGCAAATAATATGAAAAATAGCAGCTTGATTCCACCAGCAAAATGTAAAGTACTGACGATGCTAACATTCTTACAGCAAAAAAAAAAAAAAAAAAAGCACGATGTAAAATGGAAGAAAAGGCTCTGCACATGAGCAACGATTCTCAGACAGGAATCAAAAACACCCCTCTTATCACTGACTCCACTGTATAGAGGTTATACACTTGGGAGCAACACAACCCTCAGCGTCAAGAATAGAGACAAGCAGTTAGCGTACATGTCTCGGTTTACATGTAAGAATTAGCCACAAAGCCTGGTAGAGATGCTCTATCCAAGACAAGAGATAATGGAGACCAAGAGTGAGGTTAGTCACTATGGTGTAAGAGGATACGGCCAACAGGCACAGATCAGCTACACCAAACCACCACCATAGATCCAATGGGCTGACTTCCTGTCTGAGCTCAGGTTTTTATTCTTTGAATCATCTTATATAGAAATGTGCAGACACAGTAGGCATGTAATTCCATTTCCAACAAATCTGTGACAACTGATTAGAAATGCGTCTACAGTAAGATGTATGTATGTAAGATATGTCTACACTTGCTGAAATTCTGACAACACGCTCCCATTTTAGACCACTTCTAATCCTGACTGCTATTTCACAATAGCTACGCTGAATGCCTCATTCTAGCAAGCAAATACATTAAAAGATAAGTCATCAAAACAAAAATACAGTGAGCAAGGTTAAGCAATGAAGCTCGCAAGAAAAAGAAGACTGCAAGCCGACGAAGAAATGAGTCAAGATTATGGCAGGTTCCTTTCACAGGAACCCTGATACAGTACATGAAGTGGACACATGCTGTTTTTAGACAGTATTTGTGACTCAATCTGTTGCTGATTTAAAAAAAAAAAAAAATTAAAAAAAAAAAAAAAAGGTTTGAGTGTTAGCACTGAGAGGCAGTGAGGTGTTCGCCATGCTTTTAGCACCTTCAAGTCTCCATCAGGATCACAAGGGTGAGGAGAGTGCTGAACGTGTTACTAAAAGCAGGTTTTGCAACTACACACTAAAAGCAAGCGAACGCCGGAAAAGAGCACTGAGACATGTCTAGCAGTAAGAGTGTGGTCCATGATTAATGTGGGCGAAACATTTCACAACGATTCAAACACTACAGTTCACATCCTGTCCTCGACATCCTGTAGTTTATCTGCATTGCTGTTTCAGACCTGGACATTTTACGTGATGCAGTGCAGTTTTCTTCAAGGATTGACCTGTATTTGGCTCTAACCATCTTGCCTTCAACCCTGACCAGGTTCTCAGTACCTGATGCTCAGTACATGGTGCTACCACCACCATGCTTCATTGTGGTGTGTTCCCAGTTTCCAGCAAACATATTGCTTTGTGCTAATGCCAAAAAGTTACATTTTAGCCTGATCAGACCATAAAACTTTTTTTTTTTTTTTGGCTGAATCTCCAACTTGCATTTTGAAAAATTCCAAAACAGATTTCATACGGCTTCTTTAACAGTGGCTTTCTCTTCGTCACTCTACCATAAAGTATAGCTTTGTTGAGTGCTATTTTTTTTTTAAATCTAACTCCCCTGAGATGTTCAGAGAAAAAACTTGATTCTGTAGTTATCTTTCTTTGCATTTTCATGGACACTTTTTGCTTTTGTCCTGCTACAAGTTCACACAATGACCAGATTTTAGCTTTCCAGCAGAGGCAGACAGATTGTACTGAAGTTTTGAAAGAGTCTACTAGCACTTTCACATACAGATTTGGCTCCCTGGTGTAAGAAATGCTTTCAAATATTCCACAGGATATGTTTGTGTTTCACAGTGTGGGAAATGTGTGCTGTCAAATATGTTTAGAGCACAGTTGGGCAAACATGGCACGTCACAATCCTATTTTCGATGGGTATATAAAGCTAGCCTGTCACTGTGCAGTGGTCTATGTTGGAACCAAATAACTGTCAGCATTCATAGCATTTATGTGTGTGAGGGTTTGACTGCATGTAACATATGCTTTAATATGCATACATATGGATTAAATAAGCACATATGTAGGCATCTTGTGATGGAATGCATTATAATACAGTTCTCAGTGCTCCACTAATGTACTCCATATTATGAATATTTTCCCCCGCCCCCCCTTAATAGTGTTTTCACTATAATCAAACGTATACCTGACTGTCCAGGAGGTGGAAACCCTGATGG